TATAAAGTTATCAATTATTCTGTAAAAAGAAAAAAAAAATTATTTTAATAAAAATTGATCGAAAATCTTATAAAATATATATAACAGTTAGGATTACCATTTATATACCTTTTTAGGAATATATATTTTTTGAGAGATTGTAAAACAGCGTCTCTTATCCCAGACAGCACATAATAATATTTATAAAATTTAATATTTAAAATATTTATAAATATTTATAAGACTTATTTTAAATATTTTGTAAATATTTTTGTGGTCTCAGATCATTTATTATAAATATTATGAAATATTGTAAATGCTGTAGTAAATACAAAAAAATATTTAAGACATAATCATAAATATTCTGTGCTGTCTGAGTATATTATAATGTACATAATATACAGAGTATCCCATTTTAATTTCCTCAGGCAAATATCTCGAAAAATATGGAAGATAGAAAAATGTTTTAGATAAAAATTGCATGATTTAGAAAGGGACGTATTTTGGTCATATTATTTTTTTCTAGTTGGAGACTTTTATATGCAGAATAATTAAGGGAATCATATTAAAAAAAATTATATAATTCTTTAAAAAAGTGGAGGTGATCTTGACCTTTTTGACGCTTTTTTAGAAGAAAGACAATATATGACTAACATGTGATCCTCTCTAAACCATGCAACTTTTGTCTGAAACGTTTTTCTATATTTTTCAAGATATTTGCCTGAAAATTAAAATTAAATACACCTTGTATATAGATTTTGTTAAAGAAATTTGATAAATTTTTAATTAGTGATCTCTTATGTAAATATATTTGTTGTAAAAAAAAATATATTTGCAATATACATTACTTTAATTTTTTTTTTTTTTATTTTTATATTAATATTTAATAATTCTGATTATTAATTAAAATTTTATAATTAAAAAGTTATATTATTATAGGATTGTCGATAAAAAGAACGTTCTAGAAATTTTATTGCATTAAATAGTTACATTTAACGCACAAAAAATTATATTTCTCCTCTTTTTCTAGAACTGGATTATTATCTTTTTTAAAAAGTATAGAAAATAAACACGGAGTGACATAAATACCTAGCCGTCCGAAATTGTATACCTTTTGTCTTTTCATTCTTCTTATGCTTTTTCCGACATGAGTGGAAATTTGGATAGATAGGCATTTATGTTTCTCATGTGTACTCTTTTTTTATCATGAGGTCTATTCACGTTGCTTGCATTTTGTGCACTTAACATTTTTGTTTTCTTTCTTCAAGAAGTATTTCACTCTCGAATCAAACAAATATGATTACTCGACTTTTGACATTTGCTCGGTTTGACTCGTTTCTTATTGTCACTGGTCTCTACTGATCCCTCGCACTATTTCATGATTTTCGCTCGTTGATTCGTGCTAACTTGTTTCTTAAACGCATCTTAAACGCGATTCTGTAGAGAGTAAGTACAAATATATTAGCATTATATATGCGAAAAGGACAATAGCATCAATGAATAGGCAAGAATGTCGCGAGGTAGTTATTAATATGTACAATGATGAGCGCTAACTGGGAGAAGGAGAAGGATCGCCGAATTCAAGATCTGGCATGCATCCCTGGAATACGAGACCGCGCCGCTAACTACACGGAGCAGAGGCACAACCAATTCAGCAACGGAATTTTGGCATCCGAGAGTCGCCTTTCGTAGCAGGTTCACTAAGTAGATAATTTGTTAAGTAGACGGCTGTGCACGGCCAAGAGGTGACAGAGCGGACAAGTCCAAGATTGACCCATGATCGAGATTCGGAGAAGTCGTGATCGAGACTAGTAAGTTTAAGATATGATAATGGCAACCTGGCACAAAATCGAAGCCTAGATCGGCACATTAATTGATGCGGCTGCCAGTCTGATCTGATCCCTCCTTCCAGGATGTGCTAAAAACGAGATATATATCGCATAATAGCCTATTCATATTAATCCCGAAATCCAAGTAACTCGCGGAAAGAACATTCAGCGTAATATAAGGATTATTTTGTATATTCAACGCGATTGAAGCTATTGCAAATAATTTGTAATCGCGAGCATACATAAGTCGCATACATATATCGAGTTTTACGGTAATGATCTTTTTCAATTAAAGTCGAAAGTCTATTAAAGCATTGAACTCGCATTATCAATCTTCAAATATATGTATATTGATACATAGATCTTGAATTAAATCTTAATGCGAAAAGTGTGAACTCATCCTAAAACTGTAACTCACACTGTAACTCGAGAAATGCTCTTGCTTTCTCCGACTCCAGAATATATATATTAATTTATCTCAATCATTTTAAATGCACAAATTTTTGAAGATTTCAAGTAACACGAACAGATCCAGATCGAAATGGTAACACAGCCAACAAGATATATTACGAAAATTATAAAAAAAATCGAGTTCCAACCTTTCTAGAATCTCATTCTTAAATAGTCATGTTAAATTTGATACGAAATTCTTCACAGTACTATATATTTTATATGTAAAGAAGCAATCAATGAGATAAATTTTTTGTTTCTATAAAACAGTTGACAATTAATTTTCTTCTTCGTTCTAAGAAGTGCATTACGAGTGTATTTCGCGTTTCACGTAGCTTCTTCTTCTAACCAGTGGATTTCCAATTTCACTTGCAGAAATCCAAGTATCACGTTTCGAGAAAACTCACTGGACTGAAAAAGTCAGCCCAGTCCATGTCTTTTCAAAGTTTCACATAGCTAAAACGAAATTTACGAAACTGCCTGATTTCAGGTATATGACTATGAATAATACGATCAACAATAAAGCTTCAATCTATGAATGAGAGAAAGAATTCATTTAGCAACGTCATGAGACCCCCTGTGTGCCCCTCCCTCATACACACATATATATACACACACACACATACACATACATACATATACATACACATCTATTTTTCCACATATCTACACACATATCTACACACATACATGTATAGAAATAAAAAATTTAATTTATTTAAATTTTTTTCATACATACGTACACACATGTATGTGTAGAAAAATTTTCACGTTTGTTTTTTATTTTTAATAGTATATGGTATTATATGTATATACATAATAATATTCTAAGTTTTTAATTTTCAATTTTTTAAATTAAATATTACAAAAA